GACCTCAGCCATGGGAGAGTCAGTGCTCCCTGGCTGTGTCCCCCCCAGAGTTCTCCCAGCCTAAGAAGACCCATCTTCCTGGCCCCACCCATGGGCAGCTGCATCTGTGAGGCTCAGAATCCTTAGACAGGCAGAGCCAGGCAAAGAACCCAGGCTCCTGCGCCCAAACCAAGCCTATGGATCCCAGTATGAGGTGAGCTGTCTCCATGGCAATCCCAGTGGGGACCTCCAGGAGGTTGACCACCTCCCAGAGGGCGTGCTCCACTCCAAATAGTTGCTCAGGCTACTGATGTGGTAGCAGCCTCACTATTTTTAATCCATTGGGTTGGGGGTGGTAGGGAAACAGCTGGGAAGAGAGAAAGAGACAAGCTCTGAGTCAGAGAGGTCTAAAGAGGGGAGGGTATAGGGAGACCCTGTGGGGAGGAGCCAGTTCAGGCTGGCAGCCACTTCCCAACTCCCCTAGCCAGACCCCCCTCACCCCCAGCAGGTGGGTGGAGGCCCAGGTGCCAGGCCCAGAATGGGAAGGGGGCCCCTTAGAACTGGAGCTATAGAGGCTGCAGGGGCTGCCAAGTCCTGCAAGAACCTTTATCATGTTCCAGGGCAGCCCCATGGCTTCTCCTGATGTCAGGAAGTCCTCCTACGTCCCTGAGAGCCCTTCAGAGTCATCCTCCCCAAACCCAGAGTGCTAAACCAGCCACTAAGGTTGGGGAATACAAGCCCAGACTCCAGCCACCTGGCCTGTGGCATGGCCAGCCATGTCCTAGTTGCTCTGGGAATCAGGGAGAGGGCAGGGGCAGGACTGCTTTGGTTTCTCCCCTTGGAGGAGACATAGCCTCACAGGTGATCTTATTTAGGAGAAAAATCAGTTTGACATTCCTGGGCAGTGACTCTGTTTTCTGACCTCAGAAAACAGGTGGAGGGAGTCAAGGCCTGAGTGGCTGCTGCAGGGTCAAGGAGGGGCCTGAAGTCTCCCTTATCCTTCAGCCGCCATCCTTGCCCAGGTCAGCAGGCCCAGGAAGGTGGAAGGGCTTCCTGCGGGCACGGTATCTCTTGCTTCCCTGTGCCTGTTCTCTGCCAGCTATGGGGCCCCCAAGAGATGGTGGCTGCCGGTGAATCCAGAGCCCTGCAAAGAGGCTGGTGTTACAAGCCTCTGGGGCTTCACAGAGGAAGATGGGTGGTGAGTGGTGAGGAAAAGTCCAGCAGGTGGCAAAGGGGGAGGGCCTGATGGGCAGAGGGTAAAGCCCGAGCTAAGTCCTGGCAAAGGAAGAGCTGCTACCTCCCAAAAATGGCGTAGCAGGAGCGCTGGCAGGGTTAGCCAGGGCTGAGCCAGCGGGGGCGGGGGGAGAATGTGAATGCCCGCTAAGAGCCTGGGATGTCCCCAAGCTTCAGCAGGCTCTCCAAGTGAGGAGCTGGGGTGGGCAGGGTGCTGCATTGGAAGGAGAAGTGGTAGGAAAGATCACGGGGACCCAGCCCAGGACCTGTGAGGAGGGCAGGGGGAGGAGGTGGGGCCCTGTCCTGTCTTAAAGGAGACAGAAAGGCCTCCTTGAGTTGGGAGCTTGCTGCAGGAGGGTGTGGGCACTGCTGGTGGGGGTTGGAGACTTGTGGAGTGAGAAGACTGAGGAGTCCCCAGCGAATGTGGAGGGACAGGGATGGAGGTTCAGGTAGAGCATTGTGCTGGGGGTAGGGGGTGGGTAGGGGACTGGTGGGGGAGGGGAGGGGACAGAAGAGGAACCAAGCCTGAACAAGGGCCCCATGAAGCTGGGCTGGAAGAGGCAGCAGGCCAGCAGGCCACAGGATGCCCAGCGCTGAGACGGCAGAGTGCACACCTGGGTACCTTGCAGTGTGCCAGATTTGCCTGGCCCACTGTTTACAATCTCGGGGCAAGTAAGGAGAGTGATCAGAGAGATTCAGTCTCCCCCTAAGGACACACAGCTGGTGAGCAGCAGAGTCAGGATTCAACCCCGCCACTCCCTAGCTACTAAGGGGGTTGACCCCTGGTGCAGGCTCCCATCCACACTTCCAGAGCATCTGGAACCCCCTGCCCAGTACTCCTGGGAGGCTCTCCCCAGCCTAGGAAGGAAATGTAGCACTTATGTTAATGTATGTTAATGAGTACAGAGTGCCACCGGAGCCTGCTTCTGCAGCATTCCTGGCACCTCCTCCCCACCCCCTCCCGGGCTATGGAGGAGAGGAGAGGGAGGCCCCACTCCCAGCCCCCTCTTCTCTCTCCCCAGCCCCTCCCCCCGTGCTGGGCAATGAAGAAAACAGGAGTGAGTGAAGAGCTGTGATGTGGCTGGTGGTGGGGGGGCTCCCCCGTCCCGGAGGGGCTGACCTCAGCCAGGGAGGAATGTGCAGGAGGCGGAGGGCAGGGGTGGAGCGAGTGGGGGTAGGGCCCTAGCCAGAGACCCAGGGTTCCTAGTGGCCCCTCCCTCAGCCCCTCCATCTCAGCTCTGACATGGCTCTCAGAAAGGAAGGGAACAGGCAAGGAGGGGAGGAGCTGATCTTTCCAAAAAGGTGGGCCAGGGGTCTTCTGAGAGCATGGAAACCGGGCTAGAGGTGGGGTGGGGGCAGATGCCTGGCAGACCCTTCCAGGGAGATCCCCCTGGGGTGGGCAGCAGATTGCCAGGGAAGTCAGGCCTCAGTTGGGCTCTCCAGGGCCCACTTCCCACCCCCCTACCCCTGCTTCCCTATTCCCCTAAATCCTCCGGGTTGCACGTCCTAGTACCCACGTGGCTGCCCGGAAGAGGGAAAGGTCGAGATGTTGGAGCCATCAGCCTTGATGGCTAAAGCAGGTGTGAGTGGGAGCCAAGGCCTGACCCAACCCAGGCTGGGCACTGGAAGGGTTGGCTGTAGCCTTCCTCAGATGGATGTCCTACCCCAGCCCGGCCACAACACCAGAGTCCGGGCAGGATGCCGAGGGGCAGGCCCAGCTGGTGATGAGGGGTGGGGAGGCAGGTGCTGGTGTCGGCAACACTGGGACTTGGCACAACAGTCTAGTTATTTCCAGAAGGAAAAACCGAGGCCTTGGCAGGCTGTGCCACTGACAGTTGGCACCAGGGACCCCTGTTGCCTCCCTTAGTTTCTTCTATTCTGTTGAGACCCAGGCCCAGGCTGCCTTGATTCCAGAATCCTTGGGGACTTCCAGAGCCCACTGTGACCCACAGCCAGTGACCCTGCCCCTGTAAGGCTGCCTCCATGAGGTCCCTATTCAGGGTCTGCTCTGCTGGGACCTGGGGCTAAGGAGCAGAAAGGAAACCTTGTGGGGCTGGGGACAACTTGAGCTCTGCGCTCTGGGGATCTTCCTTCCTGCCCCAGGGACAGAAGCTGGAAGGCAGTGCCAAGGGCTCAGGTGGGCCAAGGACAGCCTAGTCCTTTTGGCTGGTGGTTGAGTTCCAAGGTGTTGGGAAGATAGTTGGGAGTCCTGGTCCCATTTTCCACTATGGACACAGGGTGGCAGGGATGCAGCAGAGGCTGGGATCCTGGGCCTGAAGAACTAAAAGGAGTGGGGGCAGGTAGGGGGCACAGCGCGGGTGGGTGGGGACCTCAAAGGCACTTGCTGATCTTGGCTGCTTGGGTGGAAAATTGTAAACAGCCGAAGAATTTTGTTTGCTTGCACGGCGCCAGGGGAGGCTGCCCAGGTCCAAGGCAAAAGAGCCTGGGAGGAGGGAGAAGCCACATCTTGGAAGCCCAGGAGCTCAGGCTGGGCTGCGTCCCTCCACTCCCTCTCCCGAAGGCCCCTGGTCCTTCCACTGACCACCACCCTCCCTGGCCAACCAGCCAGCCTGGCCAGGCCAGGAACTCCAGGTCCTGAGGCTCAAGAAAGAGGGGCATGGCCGTACCCTGGCTGAGCACAGACACTTCTACTCTAGGGGACTTGGCAGGAGGTGGGCAGCAGAACTCCGCATGCTTGAGGTGCTCTTACCGCCTCCCTCGCAGACCCCTGAGCAGCTGCTGATCAGCCTTGGGGAGGTTGGGAAGAGGATGCATTTGGGGGGCATTGAGGAGCAGACACTCACTCTTAAGCCCTGGTCTGTTCACCCAGGTGGACCTGAGGGCCCTCTCAGCCAATATCAACATTCAGCCCCTCCAAGAAAGTACCCCTGGCAATATAAATAGTGTGTGTCCACCAGATAACTTTAGGCCAAAAGCTTAGACCCTTCCCAGCTGAGATGTAGGAGCCCCGTCCTGTCCGTGAAGTTCCCTTGGCTACCTCGCTCTGTGTCTGGTTGAGCAGTTCCTCCCCCCTGCAACCTAGGAGGAAAGACTGAAGTCACCACGGAGGGGCATGCCCCCCACCTCCCAGCAGAGACGTGGGACTGCCTGTCCAGGCTGGGTCTCCGGATGGGCCCACATTCCACAGTGCAGAATAAGTAAGTCTTCCCACCTGCCCCTCTCCAGCCCTCCTCTTCCGCCCCAGACTGGCTGTCATCACAGCCACTGCCAGTCAGGTAGCAGAAGTACTAAGTGGCCCAAGCAATGAGGAGGGACTGGCGCTGGGTCTTGGGGGCCATCAGATCTCTAGCTGAGAACCTCCTCCCCTGACCTCTGACCAGCCCTTCCTAGCCGGCACCTGGAACTGAGGAGGCAGCTGAGTCCCTCATTACCTGCCTCCAGCTCCCCAGCTGTGGAGGGACAGGTGAAAAACGCGAGTCCCTGGGGGTACCCGTCGAGCTGTTCCCTCTGCCTGTTGCACAGAGCTGCCTAGGGCGTCCCTGTTGCTTCTTCCTCCTTTGCCTTCGCTGGCTGATCCCCCTTGCAGGACAACTGCCTGGGGCATCCTATTGCTGTGAAGCCCGACAGGAGAGGGGTCAGCCCTACCTGCCTCTCCCTTGTGCCCACTCCACTCTGGCCCAGCCACCAACTCCAGCCGGTTCCCGGCTGCCTGCCCAGTCACCCGATCCGCCCCGTAAACTTGACGGCAGCGTGTGGGGCGGTGGCTGGCTTGGTGGGGGCGGGGGCTGCTCCTTAAAGGAGCCGTCAGAAGGTGCCTTGGGGCCCCTGGGCTTCTCCCCTTCTCCAGGGTGAGAAGGGGCTAGGGTGAGGAGGTGCTGCTGCCAGAGCTCTCGGTGGAGTGTGGGAAGGCAACCTGGCGTTTTGTGGCATCACAGACCTAGAAGAGGCCGTGGCAAGTGTCAGTGAAAGGAAGGAGGGAGGTGGGAGTCCTGGGGTGGGAGGGGTCTGAAAGCTGCGGGGCTCTGTGGGGGGAGGACAGGTAAGGGGTTTGAGGTGAGCTGGTGCTCCAGCAGCTGTGTCTCTTGCTTGATCTCACCCCAGGACCTTGCCCCACGCTGGGGCTCCTGTGCCCGGCACCTGCCCAACCAGTTTCTGGGAAGGAGGGTGGGCACTGCAGCCAGAGCTGCCCTATCTGAGAGGTCCAGGGAAGGGCTCTGGCTCGGAGAAGTGGAGGGGCTCAAAGGAGGGCCAAGACCGGAGGGAGGGAGAGGAGGCTCAGGGAGAAAGTGGAGGGAAGTCAGCTCACCCGAGCTAGGGGTGAGAGGCTGCCTCAGGCCCTTGGCTTTCCCCCACTTGATTCTCTAGGGTCTGATGTCTGAGCTCACAGAATTTCTATGTGTGACCAGCCCTTCCCGCCGCCTTCTGGGGTAGGGAGGGACAGAGAGGTCAAGCTCGAAGCTGAGGCTGCTGGATCCAAGTGGGAGCAGCTCCCAAGTCAGAAACCGAGGCGTCTGCCCAGCCCCAGGGGCCCAGCCCCAGGGGCCCAGGCCCTGGGTCTCCCTGCAGCACTTCTCGGGAGTGCCCCAGAGTTGAAGGCAGTGATTGATGCTGCAGTTATATGTGCTCACTTGCATGTCCAGAGAGCCGTGCATACACTTGTGCACACACATATGTGTAATGCACACATAAACGCTTACGAAGCATTCACACCATACAGACATGTGTACACTACATAGCATGCATACAATGCCATGTGTGTGCACGTGAATGCATGCCACACCTACATGTGTAATACAACACACATGGCACATGGTCTCACATGTGCACATATACATACACACTGTACACATACACACACCAGAGGTGCATGATACATATACACAAAGGGACCCTCCGAAACATGTTCACACTCAAAGGTGCCCACACCATTGGCTCCAGCCCCAAAGGTGCCTCTGTTTCTCTGTGGTCCTGTGGGGGCATAGCCTCCTCCAGAGGCCTGACCCTCCTCCTGTTACTCTCACAACCAGAACTGGCTTGTTTTGCTCATTGCACTTGGTGCCTCTTAAGTGATTGTGCCAATCTGAGTTCTTGTTGGCACTCTGCCCTCTCCTGCAGGGGGACCTTTTCTGTGTGCCCCAGTGCCCCCAGCCCCAGGCTGGCATGAAGTAGGCGCAAGGAGTTTGTGAATTAATGCCTGTGAGCGATTTACAGGAGGGCGGGTTGCTGGGGAGGGTGACGTGGTGGGGCGGGCGCCTGCCAGTGTGGGGTTGACCCCGAGGGTGTGCCCAGCGTGGGTGTGTCTGTGATTGTGGCCAGGCCGGGCACCCTCTGAGGGAGAGGAGGGCTCGGAAGTGGAATGCGACCCCCCAGCCTCTTTCCCCTAGGGGCTGTAATCTGATCCCTGGGGACTCCCCCCCAGCCTCCCGCCCTCGCCCTTGCTGCAACTCCTTCTCTTCCAGATCCCGGGGCAGAGTCCAGGGAGGCTCAAGGCTCCTCCACGCGCGCCCGCTGAACCCTGAGCGCCCTAAGCCTGGGCTGCGGGGATGGGGCGGGCTGAAGCCGCCGCCATGATCCCGGGCCTGGCCCTGCTCTGGGCGGCAGTGCTGGGGGGTGCCGCCCCCAGCACCCCACGCCTTCGCCTCTCCTTCCAAGGTAGGTGCACCTGGCAGGCGGGAGGCCCTAGCTCAAGGTGGGCAGGAAAGGGGCCCTGTGTGGGTAGGGGACATTGTGTTTGCTGTTCCCCTGCATGTGTGCCACTGGTTTGAGTTGGACTGGGGGCACTCTCAGGCCATTGCCAGTTAACCCTTTCCTGGCCTCAGTCCCCAACCTCTCTGCCTACATTTTTCTTATGCTTTCCTAGGAAGACCCCTTCTGTCCCCATGGCAACAGATCCTGTCTCCATCCCATCCTCTACTCCCAGGGAAGTTGAGGCGTGGGGGCCATTAGAGCCCCCTTCCCACACCCCCTACACAGGGGGTTACTAGGCAGTGGAATCACATTGAACCCAGGCTGGTGGCAGAGAACCCTCTGCTTGACTTTGGGGTTGGGGTTCACGCTGTCCCTACCTGCCCATCTACCCCAAACCCTTGCCTCCTCCCCCCGTGCACCAGTCTGGAGATACTGTCTGAGCGCGCCCAGGGGCCAGGTCACACATACAACCTTGGCCTGTGAGAGAGAAAACAAGCAGGGCCTGGGGGAAGCTTCTAGCATGGCCCGGGAATCCTCAGTGGTGTCCCCACCCTGCAGAGCTCCGGGCCCGGCATGGTCTCCGGACCTTTAGGCTGGAGAGGACCTGCTGCTATGAAGCTTTGCTGCTGGATGAGGAGCGGGGACGCTTGTTTGTGGGCGCCGAGAACCTCGTGGCCTCCCTCAGCCTGGACAACATTAGCAAGCGGGCCAAGAAGGTGCCAGGGACCCCCAGCCTCAGCACTGCCCCAGGAAAGAGCCCTGGGACCCCGCTCCAGGCTGCCTGGAGCGCCCCGGGAGGACGGGCCCACTGGACACCCTCAGCACTGTCTAGTCCCTGACCTGTGTTCTCCCTCCCCCAACCTCCCCATAGCTGGCCTGGCCGGCCCCTGTGGAATGGCGTGAGGAGTGCAACTGGGCAGGGAAGGACATTGGTGTGAGTGCCGGCTGCCCGGGTGGGAGTGGGGAGGGGCAGCCCCTCACTCTGGAGACAGGCAGTACTGAAACAGAGGCCTGCCTGTTCTGGCTGTGAGGGGTCAGTAGGGTCGAAGTGGCTAAAGTCAGGAGGTAGTGAGTCAGGGTGGGGGCTCACATGATTCTTCTCGGGGACCTCTGAATCACAGGGTGCAATGCCGGCCTCAGCGCCCCTCTGCATCCATTCTGGTGAAAGGTGGGCTGGGCTGGGCACCTGAGTGCCTGTAGCCCATGTTAGCGCGTGTGTGGACTGATGCAGAAGAGAGGAAGGGGTGGGAGTGCCACCAGTGAGCTGGGACCCTTTAAGGCCACCTCCCTGGGGGAGGCCTCATTGTTCCTGCCCACTAGACTGAGTGCATGAACTTCGTGAAGTTGCTGCATGCCTACAACCGCACCCACTTGCTGGCCTGTGGCACAGGGGCCTTCCACCCAACCTGTGCATTTGTGGAGGTGGGCCACCGGCTGGAGGTAAGGCCAGATCTAGGCTGGGAGGGAGGTTGGGAGGGTCAAGAAGGGCCTGACAGGAACAACTCCCCCCTGCTTCCCAGGAGCCCGTGCTCCGCCTGGACCCTCAAAGACTAGAGGATGGCAAGGGCAAGAGTCCTTATGACCCCAGACATCGGGCTGCCTCCGTGCTGGTGGGTGAGTCCAAAGTCTGGGACCCCGACAGAGCTCTTGGAAGCCCTCAGAGAATCTAGCACCTCACCAAGTCCCAAGACCCTCCTTTGAGCCCCAGGGATCCCCCACAGCCTCACTGACTCCCCAAGAGCCCCCAGAGCTCCATAGCCCCACCAACTCATCCCAAGAGCTTGGCTAAGCAGCCCCTACCCCATCTGCAGGGGAAGAGTTGTACTCTGGAGTGGCCGCAGACCTCATGGGCCGTGACTTTACCATCTTCCGCAGCCTGGGCCAGCGTCCAAGTCTCCGAACAGAGCCACATGACTCCCGCTGGCTCAACGGTGAAAGGCTGATGGGGCTGTTGGGAGGGGGTCCTCATCCCCAGCAGAGCAGGTGTGAGTAAGGCCCATAAAGGGAATCAGCGATGCGTGCTCACCAGGTACTGACCCTAGGTCAGGCCCTGCACTGGGCACTGGGTCACAGGGCAGACAAGATCAGGATGGCTCATGCCCTCAGAACAAATACATGATAAGATCAGTTCCAGTGGCCACGAGATAACAATGAAAGAAGAAAGAACAGAGAAGGAAACTAGGCAGTGGTAGTGGTGGTGGGAGGGTTGGGGAAAGGAACACTCCGCTGAGGAGAGATGTGAGCTAATTCCCAAAACATATGAAGGAAGGGCATTAAGAGCATTCCAGGCAGAGGGAATAATTAATTAGTGCAAAGATCCTGGGGGCAGAAACAAGCCAAGGAACAGATTCATAAGGTTAGCAATGATAAGGGGCCTGGACTGTCAGGATAGGTTAGAGCCAGGGTAGATACTTGGAGAGTGATGGGGCCCAGTGGAGTATTTAAAGCAAGAGTGGGGGCATCTGCTTCCTGCTCAAGAGGCAGATTCATGAGTGAAGGTAAAACCAGATACCCCATATGCCTCCTTTATTGGCCCACTGGTATGGAGAACTGCCAGGGGCGAGGTAAGACAGGCCTGCCACTGACCAGGCTCCCCTGCCAGTGGGCCTAAGTGGCTGTGGTCTCTGCTGCCCTCTTGTGGCTGCTTCTTGACTCGCAGGCCCTCATCCTTTGGATTTTGTCCACCGGGAGCACCATCTGAACTCTGTCCTGGAGGCTGGGTGGTCAGATGCTGCCCCCAGAGGGATTCTGCAGGATGAAAGGAAGGGAAAGCAGGGCGTGGGTCTCCTAATGGGGGGCAAGGCCAGGACCTCGCTTACCCCATGCCTTCTGCGGTGGCCAGAGCCCAAGTTCATCAAGGTCTTTTGGATCCCGGAGAGCGAGAACCCGGACGATGACAAGATCTACTTCTTCTTCCGTGAGTCAGCAGTGGAGGCCACGCCGGCACTGGGACGCCTGTCTGTGTCCCGAGTTGGCCAGATCTGCAGGGTGAGGAGTCCCCGGGCCACATTCAGTGACCCTGCCACCACCCTTGTGCCTGTCTGTCCGGGCCTTGCCCTTATCCCCTGCCATTGACCCTGCAGAACGATGTGGGCGGCCAGCGCAGCCTGGTCAACAAGTGGACTACATTCCTGAAGGCACGGCTGGTGTGCTCATTGCCCGGCACTGAGGGTGATACGAACTTTGACCAGCTCCGTAAGTGCCAGGAGTGGAGGATGGGAATGCAGGTGTGCAGACCCTGGAGCCTGGTCAGTGCTCCGGGCTGTGCACCCTCCCCCAACTAGGTGCCTTCCCACAGAGGATGTGTTCCTGTTGTCCTCACGGGATCGCTGGACCCCACTGCTCTATACTGTCTTCTCCACATCCAGGTGAGGTGTGGGAGGTAGTGGGACAGGGCTGGCTGGGCTTGACCAGAGCCCCTCACTCCACCTTTGTCTTTACCTGCAGTAGTATCTTCCAGGGCTCCGCAGTGTGTGTGTACAGCATGAATGATGTGCGCCGGGCCTTCCTGGGACCCTTTGCACACAAGGAGGGTCCCATGCACCAGTGGGTTTCCTACCAGGGCCGTGTCCCCTACCCCCGACCTGGTATGGTGCGTAGCCCAAGGATTCCCACCACAACCCACCTCAGGGGTAGAGAGCTTAGCCGGGGGTCTTCTTGGTAAATGTGGTTTCTTCCCATTGTTCTGGGTGGGAAAAATATCACCTTCATCAGGCAGGGCTCCTCAGGGGAAGGCTGCATTTCCCCCTCAGACTCTCAAGGGCAAGGCTGGGGCTCCTCTCTCAGATTCCCAGGGCAGGGCTCTGTCCAATACTGCCCCCCACCCCCGCACCCAGGTTCTAGGAGGTCTCCTGCGGAGGGTTGCCCACCAGGCCCTCATACCCATATCCTTATCGTGCCTCCCTCCCTCACCCCACCAGTGCCCCAGCAAGACCTTTGGCACCTTCAGTTCCACCAAGGACTTTCCTGATGATGTCATCCAGTTTGCCCGGAACCACCCCCTCATGTACAATTCAGTCCTGCCCATGGGGGGGCGCCCTCTCTTCCTACAAGTGGGTGCTGGGTACACATTCACCCAGATTGCTGTGGACCGTGTAGCAGCTGCTGATGGACACTATGACGTCCTCTTCATTGGCACAGGTCAGAGTCCTGCCATGACCACCTACAAGACCCAGCCGAGGCTTTGGCCTGTTAGTGGAAGCTCCCTCTGTTCAGTCCCATTTCCACTGGGCTATGCCCCCAACTTCTGGATGATGCTAAATGGTTCCAGCCCGCATTCTTCATTGTCCCAACCATGCTGAGGGTGGAGGCCTCTGAAATGAGATCTCTGGCCCTAGCTGTCAGGGAACACAAGTAGTCACTCACCCCTTCTCATCCCCGCAGATGCTGGCACAGTGCTGAAGGTGATCTCCGTCCCCAAGGGTAGCGGTCCTAATGCCGAGGGGCTGCTCCTGGAGGAGCTGCACGTGTTTGAGGTGAGGCCTAGCCCCCATTGCCTGGTGTACCCCCACCCCACTGAGCCCTGATCCCAGTGTCCCTTCTCCCTCTCAGGACTCAGCCACTGTTACTAGCATGCAAATCTCCTCCAAAAGGGTAAGTGACCAGAAGTCTTGGGGGTGGAATGAACCTAGTGTGTTCCCAGGCGCCCCCACCTTCATTCCTCCCTTAGTAGTTACAAGCCCGGGTTCAGTTCCATTACAGGCTCTGCGTTTGCTAGACTGTGACCTGAGACCTTAGTGTTCCTATTTGTCAAGCGGGGGAAGGGATCTCTGACCGACGGGAGGTGTGCACAGGGCCACCCTCGGTCACCCCAGAGCTCCTTGTACCCCTAGCACCAGCTGTACGTAGCATCTCGGAGCGGGGTGGCCCAGATCCCGTTGCACCGCTGCGCTGCCCACGGCCGCGCCTGTGCCGAATGCTGTCTGGCACGTGACCCCTACTGCGCCTGGGATGGGGCTGCATGCACGCGCTTCCAGCCCAGTGTCAAAAGGTGGGCAGGCAAGGAGGTGGGCTACCGGGAGGGGATCTTTCATAGCCCATGGCTAAAAGAAAGGCTCACGGAGGCTCCAATGTCCCCACGACCCCCACCCCCTAGGCGGTTTCGTCGGCAAGACGTAAGGAATGGTGACCCCAGCATGCTGTGCTCCGGAGGTGAGTGCCCCAGCTGCCCCCACCCTTCAACCCTTGAAGATTCTGCCCCACCCTGTCCTGCTTCGCGTGATTGACAGTCCTTTGCCCCCAGACTTGTCCCATCCTGCGCTGCTGGAGCGGAAGGTGTTTGGCGTGGAGGGAGGTAGCGCCTTCCTGGAGTGTGAGCCCCGTTCCCTGCAGGCGCGTGTGGAGTGGACCTTCCAGCGCGCAGGAGAGTCAACTCACACTCAGGTGAGCCTCCTCCCACCGCCCCACTCCCAACTAGGGTCTTGTCCCGCCCCCGACATCCAGGAAGTGCCCCGCCCTGACTAGTAAGGCCCGTGGCCTGCTCCGCACGTCTGGATGAGGTTCAGCCCCACCCAGTGAGTCTCGACCCAACCAGACCCCTTACTACCAGTTTGGTCCCTTGGCTGCGCTCCGCATCCCGGTGAGACCCTACTCCTCTAACTAGGCTCCCGACACCCTTACCAAGTCCAAGAGAAGCCCCGCCCTCGCCCAGCCCATTGAGGTCCCTGACCCGCCCCTCACGTTCAGGTGAACCCCGCCCCGTTCGGGTTTCCACTTGTAGTTCACTGGCCCCCATGACCTAACCTTCAAATGTGTCTCTGCGGGCACCCCTGTCCCACTCCTGCTCTGCCACCATTGGCTATTTGCCTCTCGTCCCACGCTGAGTCCAGGAAGTCCAGTTCCCGACCCTGAAGCCCCGCCTCGCGCTGGCCCCGCCCA